CTAAACCCCCTATTAACCCCCTCAACCCCTTCATCCCCCTCAGGGTCCATCGGGTCCCCCGCGACGTACAAGCGCAGCGTGAAGCGGTCCGCCCCCCGCGGGGACTCTGCGGACCGCCTGCTGGGGGAGGAGGAGGACTGGCTCCTCAGGGACGTGGTCTTCCTCGAGGACACCCGTCCCCAGCCCCTGGGGGAGGTGGTTGCCGTCGACGGGGACCAGGTGGGGGAGTGGGGGAGTGCTGGGGGACCAGGTGGGGAGTGGGGGAACATGTGGGGGGTATTGGGGAGTGCTAATAGCCTACGGGTCTAAGGGTTCATGGACAAGTGGGTCGTGGTCAAGTGGGTCATGGTCAAGTGGGTCATGGTCAAGTGGGTCATGGCCAAGTGGGTCATGGCCAAGTGGGTCATGACCGAGTGGGTCATGGCCAAGTGGGTCATGACCAAGTGAGTCATGGCACAAGTGGGTCATGGCACAAGTGGGTCATGGCACAAGTGGGTCATGGCACAAGTGGGTCATGACCAAGTGGGTCATGACCAAGTGAGTCATGGCACAAGTGGGTCATTGCACAAGTGGGTCATGGCACAAGTGGGTCACAGCCAAGTGGGTCATAACCAAGTGGGTCATGGCACAAGTGGGTCATGGCCAGGTGAGTCACAGTCAAGTGGGTCATGGCACAAGTGGGTCATGGCCAAGTGGGTCATGGCCAAGTGGGTCATGGCACAAGTATGTCATGGCACAAGTGGGTCACAGTCAATTGGGTCATGGCACAAGTGGGTCATGACACAAGTGGGTCATGGCCAAGTGGGTCACAGTCAAGTGGGTCATGGCACAAGTAGGTCATGACACAAGTGGGTCATGACCAAGTAGGTCATGGCACAAGTGGGTCATGGCACAAGTGGGTCATGGCACAAGTGGGTCATGGCACAAGTGGGTCATGGCACAAGTCGGTCATGGCACAAGTGGGTCATGGCCAAGTGGGTCATGACCAAGTGGGTCATGGACAAGTGGGTCATGGCACAAGTGGGTCATGGCACAAGTGGGTCATGGCACAAGTGTGTCATGGAACAAGTGGGTCATTACCAAGTGGGTCATGGCACAAGTGGGTCATGGCACAAGTGGGTCATGACCCAAGTGGGTCATGACCAGGTGGGTCATGACCAATTGGGTCATAACCAAGTGGGTCATGACCAAGTGGGTCATGACCAAGTGGGTCATGATCAAGTGGGTCATGATCAAGTGGGTCATGATCAAGTGGGTCATGATCAAGTGGGTCATGAACAAGTGGGTCATGGCACAAGTGGGTCATGGCACAAGTGGGTCATGGTCGTCCTCCTGCAGGTGGTGATCCTGCCCTACGCCAAGGACGGTACCCCCAGCAAGGCGCCCCCCGCATGCCCCTCCCCCGCGGGCTGCCCCCCCGTGCCCCCCAACCTGCGGGTCATCCACCGGGACCAGCTGTCTGTGGTGCGGGGGGCGCCCCTCCCCCCTGGGGGGGCTCATCCCCCATCTACTGCCGGTGAGTCCTGCGATTTATTATATCTATCAATATATATGACCTATTTTTATATATGACCTAAAAATTTAAGACGGAATAATCATGGAAGAATGGAAAACGTTTAATTTTTATAATAGTTTTTTCATTTTATACAATTTTCATATAATAATCACTTATTTATTTCATTTTTATGTTATATAATTGGAGTGTAAACATACCGCGTGGTAACAATAAAAGTTTAGACGAGACGACATTCGAATTATTAATTCTATATTATATTATTATTATAAAGTCTTTTTATATTAAAATAAGTCAAATAATTATATAACTAATGCCTCCCCCCTGCCCCCACAGGCGGGGGCACCAGCCGAGTCCCCGACTGCTACCAGCGGACCCCGCGACGCGTGCCGCTTCCCGAGACGGACGCGGCGCTACTGGCCATCGCGGTGGACAACAGAGGTGCTTATATACCCCAGCCCGGGCGCTGCCAGATGCACGATGCGTGGCCCGGGCGGTGCCAGATGCACGATGTGTGCTTATATACCCCAGCCGGGCGGTGCCAGATGCGCGATGTTTGCTTATATACCCCAGCCCGGGCGGTGCCAGATGCGCGATGTGTGCTTATATACCCCAGCCGGGCGGTGCCAGATGCACGATGTGTGCTTATATACCCCAGCCCGAGCGGTGCCAGATGCACGATGTGTGCTTATATACCCCCAGCGGGGCGTTGCCAGATGCGCGATGTTGTTGGCTGATGCACGATAATCGTGTTGGGTATAGCTATTGATACACGATCCTTAGGGAACATATCAGGTAATAGGTAACCCTAATACCCCCTAACCCCCCAGTCACTAACCTTCACACCCCCCGCAGGTATCCACGCTCTGGTGCAGGGGGCCGCAGGTGGCCCCGTGATATACGTTCACTAACCCCCCTCGCCCCCCGCAGGTATCCACGCCCTGGTGCAGGGGGCCGCGGGTGGCCCCGTGACATACGTTCACTAACCCCCTCTCGCCCCCCGCAGGTATCCACGCCCTGGTGCAGGGAGCCGCGGGAGGCCCCGTGACATACGTGGTGTACAGCCTGTGTAACGGGAAGGTGCTACAGGAGTACGCGCTCCCCACGCCCCCCGCGGCCTTCCTCGCCCACGCCCCCCACAACGTCCAGATCGCTGTCACGGGGGAGGTGAGTTCTGCCCCGTGACTTATAGGACACCCCTTTGTATACCTCCTCCTAGATCCTAGGTCCTAGATCCTCTTGCAGGATATGTATTCTATGTATCCTAGATAGCGCCCCTAGATCTCCCTCCTAGGCTCGCTAGTAAATCTATGTATTCATGACCACATATATGACCATATGTATGACTATATATGGCTGCATATATGTCCATAAATTTAAAATATATGTCCAATATATATATTTATATATATACCTCTTACCCCAGTATTACAACCACCCTCCCTCCCCCCCAGAGCGAGGGCGTCTGCATCGTCCTGGACGGCAACTCGACCATCTACCCCATCAACAGGGACGGCGACCGCCCACAGCCCCCCACTGGCGGGTGAGTCGTCCCCCACAGCTCCACTGGCGGGTGAGTCGTCCCCCACTGGCGGGTGAGTCGTCCCCCACTGGCGGGTGAGTCGCCCCCCACTGGCGGGTGAGTCGTCCCCCACTGGCGGGTGAGTCGTCCCCCACTGGCGGGTGAGTCGTCCCCCACTGGCGGGTGAGTCGTCCCCCACTGGCGGGTGAGTCGTCCCCCACTGGCGGGTGAGTCGTCCCCCACTGGCGGGTGAGTCGTCCCCCACTGGCGGGTGAGTCGTCCCCCACTGGCGGGTGAGTCGTCCCCCACTGGCGGGTGAGTCGTCCCCCACTGGCGGGTGAGTCGTCCCCCACTGGCGGGTGAGTCGTCCCCCACTGGCGGGTGAGTCGTCCCCCACTGGCGGGTGAGTCGTCCCCCACTGGCGGGTGAGTCGTCCCCCACTGGCGGGTGAGTCGTCCCCCACTGGCGGGTGAGTCGTCCCCCACTGGCGGGTGAGTCGTCCCCCACTGGCGGGTGAGTCGTCCCCCACTGGCGGGTGAGTCGTCCCCCACTGGCGGGTGAGTCGTCCCCCACTGGCGGGTGAGTCGTCCCCCACAGGCGGGTGAGTCGTCCCCCACTGGCGGGTGAGTCGTCCACCACTGGCAGGTGAGTCGTACCCCACTGACGGGTGAGTCGTCCCGCACAGCCCCCACTCCCCCTGCTGAGGGAGACTCTTATTAACACCCCCCCTCCACCAGGAGTGGCCCGCCCCTGCTGAGGGAGACCCTAATTAATCCCTCTCCCTCCCCCAGGACCGGTCCGCCCCTGCTGAGGGAGCCTACATGGCCGGACCTGCCGCCTCTGACGGCGGTGGCGGCGTCCCAACATTTTCTGCACGCCGCCGCCGCCACGCAGAAGAACACCGTCGCCCTCCTCGTCCTCTGCGCCGCCCGCCCCGCCCTCCTCACGCCCGTCCTCGCCCTCGACCTGCCGTCCCTCACTGCCGCCCTCGAGTCCCTCAGAGGTGGGTTGTCGTCCCTCAGAGGTGGGTTGTCGTCCCTCAGAGGTGGGTTGTCGTCCCTCAGAGGTGGGTTGCCGTCCCTCACTGCCGCCCTCGAGTCCCTCAGAGGTGAGTCCCTCAGAGGTGGGTTGTCGTCCCTCACTGCCGCCCTCGAGTCCCTCAGAGGTGGGTTGTCGTCCCTCAGAGGTGGGTTGCCGTCCCTCACTGCCGCCCTAGAGTCCCTCAGAGGTGGGTTGTCGTCCTCTCAGAGGTGGGTTGTCGTCCCTCAGAGGTGGGTTGTCATCCCTCACTGCCGCCCTCGAGTCCCTCAGAGGTGGGTTGTCGTCCCTCAGAGGTGGGTTGTCGTCCCTCACTGCCGCCCTCGAGTCCCTGAGATGTGGGTTGTCGTCCCTCACTGCCGCCCTCGAGTCCCTCAGAGGTGGGTTGTCGTCCCTCAGAGGTGGGTTGTCCCTCAGGGGTGGGTTGCCGTCCCTCACTGGCGCCCTCGAGTCCCTCAGATATGGGTTGCCCGTCCCTCAGAGGTGGGTTGCCGTTCCTCAGAGGTGGGTTGTCGTCCCTCAGAGATGGGTTGCCGTCCCTCAGAGGTGAGTTGTCGTCCCTCAGAGGTAGGTTGTCGTCCTCAGAGTGCTGACGTTGCTGTATATATAAATATACATGCATACATATACCTATATACTGTATACATACATCAAGATATATCTGTAATAAATGTTGGTATTTTATATATAGTATAGGGAGCTGTACATGTATAGTATGTGCTGACGCGGCTGTAAATGTATATATAAATACATTTATGTAAATGAATATAAAATAATATACTATATATACATTTATATTATAGCTAGCTGTATATATATTATATGCTGACATGCTGACGTTGCAAATGCTGACGTGGCTGTATATAAATGTATATAATATATATAAATATGTATATTTGTAATGAATTTATATAATGCATTATATATATATATAGAGTATAATAGTATAGTTAGCCGTATCTATATTATGTGCTGACGTTGCAGACGCTGACGTGGAGGCGGTGCTGTCTGAGCGGTGCGACGGTAACCGCAACGTGCTGCACGCCTGCGTCAGCACCTGCTGCCCTACGGAGAGTCAGGACCCCGACCCTGACCCCTGCCCCGACCCTAAGGACCCTTTCTTGAACCTGGTCAACTGGCCGCCGTCCTCTGGTGGCGGCCCGCCGTCCAATAGTGGCGGCCCGCCGTCCAATAGTAGCGGTCCGACCCCAGATGAGACCTCCGATCCCGCCGCTCAACAGACTCGTCCGGCGGTGTCGGGCGCCGCCGCTGACGCGGCGGCGGTGGACAGGCGGACGGTCTCGTTGGCCATCCTGCGGACCATCTGCTACAGTTGGCGGTTCTCTGGCCACCAGCTCCGGCAGCTACTGGCGGCCACTGATTCTAATGGACAGACGCCATTTATGGCCGCCGTGGCCGGCCGCGCGTATCGGGCCGCGCTTGTCCTCCTCGATGTCGTCCAGCGGACCGCCAGGATGGACGCTTTGGACGACGAGGGATACAAGAGGGCGGTGGACGCCATGATCTTCCCCCCGGGTGAGTGGGGGGGGCGGTGGGGNGACCCAAGAGTGCAAGACCTGCGGCCTCATAGGTGGGCTAGACCCTAGTGGGCTGGACACTAGACCCTAGTGGGCTGGGCACTAGTGGGCTAGACCCTAGTAATAGACCCTAGAGTGCAAGGCCTGCGGCCTTATAGGTGGGCTAGACCCTTGTGGGCTGGGCACTAGTGGGCTGGTCACTAGTGGGCTGGCTGCACACTAGTGGGTGGGTTAGACCCTAGAGATAGATACTAGACCCTAGAGTGCAAGGCCTGCGGCCTTATAGGTGGGCTAGACCCTTGTGGGCTGAGCACTAGTGGGCTGGGCACTAGCAATAGACCCTAGGGTGGGCTGGGCACTAGACCCTAGTGGGCTGGGCACTAGTGGGCTGGGCACTAGCAATAGACCCTAGGGTGGGCTGGGCACTAGACCCTAGTGGGCTGTACACTAGTAATAGACCCTAGAGTGGGCTGGACCCTAGAGTGCAAGACCTGCGGGCTCATAGGTGGGCTGGGCACTAGTGGGCTAGACCTGCGGCCTTATAGGTGGGCTGGGCACTAGTGGGCTAGACCCTAGAGTGCAAGACCTGCGGGCTTATAGGTGGGCTGGGCACTAGCAATAGTGGGCTGGGCACTAGTGGGATAGACACTAGTGGCTTGGCTAGACCTTCGAGTGCAAGACCTGCGGGAGTATAGGTGGGTTAGACCCTAGCGGGTAGATCGTAGACCCTAGAGTGCTAGACCTGCGGCCTCATAGGTGGCTGCACACCAGTGGGTAGACTTGAAGGTGGGCTGGTTAGACCCTAGTGGGCTGCACACCTGTGTGGTAGACTCTAGTGGGTAAATCCTAGACCCTAGAGAGCACGACCTGCTGCCTCATAAATGGGCTGGGCACTAGTGGGCTGGACACTAGACCCTAGTGAGTGGGCTAGCTCCTAGTAAGCAGAGCCTAGTGTTTAGGCTAGGGACTAGTAGGTGGGCTAGATCCTAGTGGGCTGGCTATACCTAGTGAGTGGGCTGGCTCCTAGTGGGCAAGCCTTAGTGCTTAGGCTAGACTCTATTTAGTGCTTGGGCTGCACACTAGTTGGCAGATACCAGACCCTAGTGGGTGGGCTAGACTTTAGAACATCTAGGCTTAGAGTCTAGACCCACAGAGGGTCTAGAAAATATATTCAAATAGCCCATCAATTATCATTTCCTTTGACAATAAATTTTTAATTGAAGCAAACACATTACCTTGCAATTTATCTTTAAATTAACCTTATCTTTAACACTGACCGTATCTTTAACAGTCTTTGGTCTTTGTTAAAAAAACACAATTTCTTTTTGAATTACACCAAAGTATTTTCACTTTTCTTTACTATATGCATTGTAGTTATTAGTAGCCCTTGTATATTGTGTAAGTTTTCACTTTAAAAATTGGTAAAATAAATAAGTCATTTTGATAAACAATTCAATGTGCTGCTGTACGGAGTGTGCCAGAGTGTGCCACAACTTTATACTGTGCCACAGACTCGCTGTGCTGCTGTACGGAGTGTGCCAGAGTGTGCCACAACTTTATACTGTGCCACAGACTCGCTGTGCTGCTGTACGGAGTGTGCCAGAGTGTGCCACAACTTTATACTGTGCCACAGACTCGCTGTGCTGCTGTACGGAGTGTGCCAGAGTGTGCCACAACTTTATACTGTGCCACAGACTCGCTGTGCTGCTGTACGGAGTGTGCCAGAGTGTGCCACAACTTTATACCTGTCTCTTATACACATCTAGATGTGTATAAGAGACAGGTCTAGTGCCATCAGGACGGGCCATCAGGCATCTAGGTAACATCTAGTGCATCTAGGTAACGTCTAGTGCATCTAGGTAACGTCTAGTGCATCTAGGTAACGTCTAGTGCATCTAGGTAACGTCTAGTGCATCTGGGTAACGTCTAGGGCATCTAGGTAACGTCTAGTGCATCTAGGTAACGTCTAGTGCATCTAGGCAACGTCTAGTTCATCTAGGTAACGTCTAGTGCCATCAGGTATCTAGGTAATGTCTAGGGCATCTAGGTAACGTCTAGTGCATCTAGGTATCGTCTAGTGCCATCAGGGCGGGCCACCTGGCATCTAGGTGTCGTCTAGAGCATCTAGGTATAGTCTAGGGCATCTAGGTATAGTCTAGGGCATCTAGGTATCGTTTAGGGCATCTAGGTATCATCTAGGGCATCTAGGTATCGTCTAGGGCATCTAGGTATCGTCTAGGGCATCTAGGGCATCTAGGTATCGTCTAGGGCATCTAGGTATCGTCTAGGGCATCTAGGTATAGTCTAGGGCATCTAGGTATAGTCTAGGGCATCTAGGTATATCGTCTAGGGCATCTAGGTATCGTCTAGGGCATCTAGGTATCGTCTAGGGCATCTAGGTATCGTCTAGGGCATCTAGGTATCGTCTAGGGCATCTCATGCCCGCCTCTTGTCCCCTAACCTGCCGCCCCCCGCAGGTTCTCCCTCCTCCGCCGCCTGGTCCAGGAGACGTCCCCTAACCTGCCGTCCCCTAACCTGCCGTCCCCTAACCTGCCGCCCCCCGCAGGTTCTCCCTCCTCCGCCGCCTGGTGCAGGAGACGTCCCTCATCACGCAGGTGAACGGGCGGGGGGAGCACCTGCTGCTGTTCCTGCTGCAGACGGTGCGCCGCCAGGGGCGCGAGCAGCGGCAGTGGGGCGACGCCAGGGGCGCCAACTCCCGCAAGACGGCGTCCGCCGTCGCCGCCGCCGCCCTTAAGGAGGAGGCCGCCGCTGCAGGTGGGTGGCGGGCGGTGGGGAAGTGGGGAGGGACTGTGTTGCTGTAGGTGGGGCGGTGGGGTGGTGTTGCTGTAGGTGGGGCGGTGGGTTGTGTTAAGGGTAAATAATACCAAACCCAATTCTACTTTTCCCTAGGTTGACTCCAACCCCACCTTCTCAAGGCGACCCCAAGTCCCCCTTGATAAGACCTCAGTAACCCCCCTTCCCCCGCAGGGTCTGAGGTGCCAGACCACCACCTGGAGCCCCCCAAGTTCAGCAGGCGCGCCCTGGAGCATCTGCTGCAGGACTGGCGCGCCGTGGAGGCCCTCATCATGACGGGTGGGGGCTAGCTTATCTTATCTGTCTTATCTTAGGTGTGTTATCTTAGGTATTCCATCTTAGGTCATGTCTACCCGTAATCTCAAGCCTTATCTGAGGTCCTATCTAGCCCTTATCTATAGCCTTATCTTAGGTCCTATCTAGCCCTTATCTTAGGTATTATCTAGTCCTTATCTTAGGTCTTATCTAGTCCTTATCTTAGGTCTTATCTAGCCCTTTTCTTAGGTTTTATCTGAGCCTTAAATTAGGTCTTATCTAGTCCTTGTCTTGGTTCTTGAATAGGTCTTATCTAGTCCTTATCTTAGGTCTTAAATAGGTCTTATCTAGTCCTTATCTTAGGTCTTATTTAGTACTTATCTTAGACCCTAAATAGGTCCTATCTAGCCCTTATCTTAGGTCCTATCTAACCCTTATCTTAGGTCTTATCTAGCTTATCTTATGTCCTATCTATTATCTTAGATAGGACCTAAGATAAGGGTGTGTTATCTCAGGTGTATTAATTCTAGCTTCATAAAACGGTTCCTATATAGTCTTATCTTAGGTCTTATCTAGTCCTTATCTTAGGTCCTATCTGGTCCTTGTCTTAGGCCTTATCTAGTCCTTATCTTAGGTTTTATCTAGTCCTTATCTTAGGTCTTAAATAGGTCTTATCTAGTCCTTATCTTAGGTCCTATCTAGCCCTTATCTCTAGCCTTATCTTAGGTCCTATCTAGCCCTTATCTCTATCCTTACATTAGGTCCTATCTAGCCCTTATCTCTAGCCTTACCTTAGGTCCTATCTAGCCCTTATCTCTAGCCTTACCTTAGGTCCTATCTAGCCCTTATCTCTAGCCTTACCTTAGGCCTTTATCTCTACCCTTATCTTAGGTCCTATTTAGCCCTTATCTCTGGCCTCATCTCAGGTCCTGTCTCTAGCCCTATCTTAGGTCCTATCTAGCCCTTATCTTAGGTCCTATCTAGCCCTTATCTTAGGTCCTATCTAGCCCTTCTCTTAGGTCTTATCTAGCCATTATCTCTAGCCGTATCTTAGGTCCTATCTAGCTCTTATCCCTAGCCCTCATCATAGGTCCTATCTAGCCGTTATTTTAGGCCATATATATCCCTTATCTTAGGTCTTATATCTATCCTTATCTTAGGTCCTATCAAGCCCTTATCATAGGTCTTATCTAGACCTTATCTCTAGCCTTATCTCAGGCTCTATTTAGCCCTTATCTTAAGTCCTATCTAACTCTTATCTCTAACCTTGAGTCTTATCTAGCCCTTATTTTAGGTCATATTTAGCCATTATTTCAGGTCCTATCTAGCCCTTATCTCTAGCCTTATCTCGTGTCTCAATATCAGCTAATTTTTAGCCCCATATTTGAGGTTATCTAAGCCCCATCATGCCCCTCGGCCCCATCACTAATGCCCCTAGGCCCCATGACGCCCCTCTGCCCCATCACTAATGCCCCCCTCCCCCCAGGGTACCGCGAGGGCCCCACTCCTGGTGGGGATGAGGGGGACGACGAGGTGGGCTACATGCGCCACCAGGGCCACACCGCCCACCTCGACAAGTTCACCCACTGCCTCCTGGTCAAGCTCGCTGAGCAGGTGGGTGAGGGTGACCCACATGGGTGAGGGTGACCCACATGGGTGAGGGTGACCCGCGTGGGGGAGGGTGGGGGAAGACACCCACTGCCTCCTAGTCAAGCTTGCTGAGCAGGTGGGTGAGGGTGACCCACATGGGTGAGGGTGACCCACATGGGTGAGGGTGACCCACGTGGGTGAGGGTGACCCACGTGGGGGAGGGTGGGTGAAGGCACCCACTGCCTGCTGGTCAAGCTCGCTGAGCAGGTGGGTGAGGGTGACCCACGTGGGTGAGGGTCTGGGGGAAGGCACCCACTGCCTCCTGGTCAAGCTTGCTGAGCAGGTGGGTGAGGGTGACCCACATGGTCACTCGTCTCGACTCTCAACCCTAACCCCTCTGCCCCCGACCCCTCACTCGTCTCGACTTCCAACCCTAACCCCTCTTACGCCTGACCCCTCGCTTGTCTCGACTCCCAACCCTAACCCCTCTGCCCCCGACCCTTCACTCGTCTTGAACCCTAACCCCCTCCACCACCCACCACCCGCCTCTGCCCCCGCCAGGTGGTGGAGACAATGGACGAGCTGGAGACAGTGCTGTTCGCTGACGAGCATCTCGAGCGGCGGGCCGGTGCCAGCGGCGGGAGCGGCGGCGCCCCCGCCAGGAACATTGCGCCCCAGAGCCTCCAATGGGCCCTCAGGTGCGTGGTGGTGGGGCCTTAGGTCCTGGGTCTTGTCTTAGGTCCTGGGTCTTGTCTTAGGTCCTGGGTTTTGTCTTAGGTCCTGGGTCTTGTCTTAGGTCCTGGGTCTTGCCTTAGGTCCTGGGTCTTGCCTTAGGTTCTGGATCTTGTCTTAGGTCCTGGGTCTTGCCTTAGGTCCTGGGTCTTGCCTTAGGTCCTGGGTCTTGCCTTGGGTCCTGGGTCTTGCCTTGGGTCCTGGGTCTTGTCTTAGGTCCTGGGTCTTGCCTTAGGTCCTGGGTCTTGCCTTAGGTCCTGGGTCTTGCCTTAGGTCCTGGGTCTTGCCTTGGTCCCGGGTCTTGTCTTAGGTCCCGGGTCTTGTCTTAGGTCCTGGGTCTTGCCTTAGGTCCTGGGTCTTGCCTTAGGTCCTGGGTCTTGCCTTAGGTCCTGGGTCTTGCCTTGGTCCC